TGATTCTCTCTCACCATTGATGTTTTATCTTTCTCCCTCTCCCTTCCTCTTTGAAATCAATAGAAAAAATAAATAAATAAATACTCATAGTACTCCATCATGGTAATAAAATGTAACCATTAAAAATTAAAAATTATGGCAAAGGTATTTATTTATTGGCAAACAAAGATATTGATATTATTCAGTGAAAAAAAAAAAGCACGTTATTATAAGACTCACCCCCTCCCCATTTTGTTATATATGTCTATAGATGCAAAGAAAAAAAGTCCATGGATATTCACTATGGTTTAATATCTATTATCTTTATATGGTGGGATCATGGATGTCATTTATTTGTTTGTTTCTCTATATTTTCTAATTTTCCTACAATTAAAGAGAAGTGAGTTGTTGTTTTTGTTTTTAACTCAGGAGTAAGGGTGTCCTCTAAAAAGAAGAAATAGATCATTCTGAGCCAGTCTAAGTCCTATTTTGCTCACAGGCAGAATAAATGATTATATGATCTTCAATTTGCTTTCTTTCTCAGTACTCCAGATGTAATTTACGTTTTTCTCCTAGACAACTGTGTCTTACTGCTGATTTGTTTGTCCTTTTCATTTACATCACCTGCCTTGACAAAAGAAATCACCAAATACAGGCTTGGAGTTGTCTATTATTCCCATACAGCTATATTATTTATGTGTACCAGGCACCCCTGCTGATATCTGCCTTCTAATTTTCATCAAAAACTCTGTTTCTCAGAACGCTTCTCCTCTATTCTCCACCCCACTCCATAGCTGCAGGGTGTCGATGGGCACTCAAAAATCACAGGGTGAATATGCTGTCAGTCCTGGAGCATCAATTTCACTCATATCTGAAAATAAGATATTATTAGAGTAAAGCCAGCCCTTACATTATACAGTCAAAGAGAAAATTCCCATAAACTAAAAACTAAAGTGGGTAACTTCAAACAATTAAAAGTTCATAAGGCTTAAGGCAGGCCTTTCCACTCTAGCTCTTGCTTTTCTGGAAGCATAAGTTCCTCTCTTATTGACCTTCAAGGATTCACCAATGGAAAAGTTTGAGAAGCAGGGATCTAAGACTCTCGCCCCTTTCGTTGCTCCTCTACTAGCTACTAATTCATATGTTTTCAAATGAGGCTTCACCCTCAGGAGTGTCTACTCAGAAAAATGCCCTTCACACAGCCATCTTCTGCTCAGAGCTGTACATCTTATACAGTATGATTTACAAGCTGTGCTATTCTTTTTAAATGTTGGCATTTGAAACATGCATAACTCAAAATACAGAAGTTAAAAAGGAAGAAATGGTTATGGCCACAATTTAAAGGCTAATCAATTGCTTAGAAATAGGATCTCTACACAAAGTGAGCCCTGGAGGTAGCCCAATTAAACGCTATGGTCACTGCCAGAGACCAGCTTCTTTCAGGATCAATTCAAAATGTATAAAGCCTTAAACTATATACATTGAAAAAAAAATGAAACCCAATAGAATAAAGATACAGAAAGGAAAAATCTTGGCAAAATTATTTAAGATTAAACTATTTTAAACTTGCTGTCATTTAGAGAGACAAAAAAAAAAAAAAAAAAATCCAGTGCAGTGCCCTAAGTCAGTTTTAGTGTGTACACAAAAGTACATTTCCCTTAAGGCCATGCAAATTGCTTCTAATGAAAACAGTTTCAATTATAAAAATTAATTTAAAATAATGGGAGAGAGTAACCAAAGAACATATATGCATAAATGCGTAACCTATGGACACAGATAATAATGTGAGGAAGGCCTAGGGTGCGGTGGGGGTTGGGTAGTGGGGGCTAAAGGAATGAGTATGGGGGACATCTATCTGTACTCTCAACAAATAAATACATGAATGAGTGAATGAATGAATGAATAAATGGAGGCTGGAGATCCAAGATGGTGATGAATCAGGTGGAAGTTACACTCACCTCCCAGGACCAAACTGGAATTACAACTAAAGTATAGAAAGATCATCCTGAATAACCAAGTGAAGACTAGCTGGAGAGAAATCTATAACCAAGGACTTGCAGAGGAGGCCTCATCAAGGCTAGTAGGAAGTGTGGAGGCACAAGAAGGCTGGCCAGACTCCCAGGGATGGCAACTGAAGTTCTGGAGGAATAGCTCAGCTGTGGGGTTTTCCCCCTGAGAAGCCTGGGGTCTAGACCCCAAGGTGGTTTCCCTAGTCCAAAGCACCAGAACTGGAAAAGGTGACTACATAAAATCTGACTGTGAAAAGCAGAGAGATTTCTGTCTGCCTCTTAAAGGGCCAATATACAACATTTTGTTTGCAGCCATTCACACTGGGCTTCAGGACTAGAGCTACATGAAGAGAGTCTGGGGTTGGTGGCTCTGGGGTGAGAGCTGTGAGGTCAGTCACCAGTATCCCTGTGCTGAGTCATTCCCTTATCCTGCAGAAGCCATCTTTCTCAGGCAGAGCATTCCCCTCTATGCAGCATCAGCCTGGGCGGGGCGGGGGGGGGGGGGGGAGCAATAGTCCCACCCATTGGGAATCCAAGTTGTCCCACCTTGTGGAGCTTAAGTCCTGCTGAGGAGTGCAGCCAAAGGATCTTTATGTGACAGAACCTAAGAGACAGCCTGCAGGCAGAGGCAGATCTCTGGGTGTTTTGAAACATTTCCTGACCTTCCCCTGGGCTCTGGTGCTAGTTAAAGCAGACCTTGGTGCACAGCTTGTCCCTTTCCACATGCACCAGGCCCAATAGAAGGAGCCACAGCTGTGGATTGCTAACAGCTCCAAACAGGTTGCCCAGGGTCAGTCACAAACAGGGTCTGACATTGGTCTGCTCCAGAGTCTCTCCAAAGAGTCCCCAAACCAATACTCCCAGTGGTCAGCTCCGGAAAACAACACAGCAGGATCCAATAAGCTTCACAAGAAGCATTTCCACAGGGAGTTCTCGGCAGGCACTAGACCATGCTGAGGCAAATGTCACTTCATGTGATCAACTCCTGCACAGCAGCTTGCATGTTGTGTTGGGGGTTGAGTCTCACTGTCAGCCAGGCTGAGGGTTGGTCCCATGCACAAATGGGCCAATAGCAATCACAACTCAATTACAACAGGAAAGCCCACATAATGCATTCAAGGGACATTCTTAAAGCTCTGAGCTCAGGTGATTAGGGTGACTACGCCACTGGGTCCCACAGGTCACCTATTATACAGGGCCACCCACAGGGCCACCCTACCCAAACTGAGAGCCATAGCAGACCTACCTAATACAAAGAAACAAACAAACAGAGGCAGCCAAAATGAGGAGACAAAGAAACAGGCCCCAAATGCAGGAACAAGAGAATTCTCCAGATGAAGAACTAAATAAAGTGAATATAAGCAATCTATCAGCTATAGAGTTCAGAGTAATGATTATAAGGATGCTCAACAGCATTAAAAAGGACCAGTCATGCCTGGCCAGCGTGGGCAGTAGACAACAGGGGAACGAGGATAGGAAAGGGAGCTATTTGTTTTAAAGTTTGCAGTTTTTACAAGCTCCCTATGTGATTCTCATGCGTAGTAAAACTTAAGAACTGGTACCTTACATTATCTAAGCAGTTGAGACAAAAATTGATTATGTGATCTGGTTATTTCATAATCACTAACCCACTGCTTCATTTTGCCTGTGGAGAAACAAGGGTTTAACCCATAAAAACCTGTCAAGTCTGCCATGCAATCTCCAAACTTCAGAAATTGCTTCAGAAAGAGGACTGTAAAGAGATACCCCTGCGAGAGCTCCCCACAGAGAAGGCAAGGAGAGCTTATGCAATCATGCAGCAGCAGTGGACTGAAAGGTCACAGAGCATGTGCTCCATACTTATAAGCTTCAGGATTCAGCTAAAATAGAGCATATGAGCAGAGAATTTTCCAATTTTTTAAAACAACTCTCTAAATTTTCTTTTTAAATGGTAGTCAGCATGTGTGTCATGTTTTAAATATATATACGTATATTCTAAATTTTTATTAAAATACATTCTAAATATATGTCGAAATACAATTTATGATTACTACTTTTTTTTTTAAATCCTCACCCAAGGATATGTTTTTATTGATTTAGAGAGAGAGGAAGGGAGAGAGAGAAGGAGAAACATCGATATGAGAGAGACACATCAATTGGTTGCCTCCTGTATGCACCCCAAGCAGGATCAAACCCGTAACCTGGGTATATGCCCTCATTGGGAATCGAACCTGCGATCCTTCAGTGCACAGGACAATGCTCTAACCTACTGAGCAACTCTGGACCATAATTACTACTTTTTAAATACACTTGCAGAAATTTATATTCACAAAATATTAATAATTCTGAGTTTCTTAACGATAACAATTAGCATACAGGAGGCAACCAATTGATGTGTAGCACATCATAACTGAAATAACAATGAAACCCAGTTCCATGAACGACACATAAAAATGTCTTCCTACTTTATAGTCACACTAAACACATCACTATATGTAACTAGTTCATAATCTACTCAAAAACAGGACTATCTTCTGTCTATTTTTCTGTTTCTTTTACATGCCTCTGAATTATTTTACACACCTCCTCCGAAGTCTGTACACCATAGGCGCACAAGGTAAATGCTTAGCTGGCCATTGACTAACCAATCTAGAGTAATGCAACACCGAGAATTCATTATCAGGTTGTCGTTTCTCTCTTTATGTGACTTCTGTGGCTCCATCAAAAACAAAATTTAAAAATTCCAAGAAGATAAAACTTTGTAATGAGTCATACATATCTTAAAGTGGATTTATTGGATCAATGTATTATTTTTCACAAGAACATCTACATCCTGCTGCTATTTTCCCTCAGGCACAATTTCTCTAAGGTATTTCATCATTGAGGCCTAATTTAGCATGTATTTATACAAAGAAACATAATGAATTGAATTTTTAAAAAGCACTCATTAGCAGTATGATCTCTTACCCAGGTACAGGTTATTCTTTTCAACAGAGTACAGGTAATTGGCTACAAATAATGGGTACTAATTACCTTCTTGAGTGGAAGAAGTCTCTAGGTGTTGAAGTTTAAGGCCAGTGTCTAACCTTTGAGGCTTTGTATGCAGAAATAGATAGCAAAGGACACAGACGCTGATGACAAAGGCAAGTAAAACAAGGGCAGCAATTCCCAATCCAATCAGGGCACCGATGCTGAGGAAAACAGAAAACATTGTGAGTGTCACACAGACCAGTTTGCACAGGAGCTAAAGAGGAGGTTTAAATACTGTTAGTTCTTGCTTCAGTTACTCATAATCAAATTATATTTTAGGATAAATAATAGTAGTATATGATTGCAATCTACAGCTCTCCTTTCTCTACCATGAAATTCTTACCATATTTTCTCTATACATATATCTTATCTAATAAAAGAGAAACATGCAAATTGACCATACTTCCACCACATGCACAAGCCATGCCCGTAAGCCATGCCCACCAGCCAATCAGGAGCGAGTATGCAAATAAACCCAACCTAGATGGCAGCAGCCACAGAGCTGGAGCAAACAGGAGGCTTGGGTTGCCCCTGGCGATGGAGGAAGCCAAGCTTCCCACCTGCCCTGGCCAGCTGTGGACTCCACTCAAGGCTACAAAGTTTCAATTATAGAAAATAAATTAAACCCAGATACCTGCTTCCAGCCACTGTGGCCTCCGCTCAAGGAGGGTCTGGGAGCCTGGGTTGCTCAGGGCCATGGCCAGCCTGCAAACAGCCATCAGCCCCTCACCCAGGCTGGCCATGCCCCCCCAGCGGGGACCCTCACCCCATTGCAGCATGGCCGGCCTGCAAACCACCACAGGCCCTTCGTCCAGGCTGCCCCACGCCCCAAGGGAGCCCCCACCCTGATCCGGGACACCCTTCAGGGCAAACCAGCCTGTCCCCACCCATGCACCAGGCCTCTATACTAATAAAAGGGCAATATGCTAATTAGACTGGGAGACCTTCTAGGAGACCTTCCAGATGTTCTTCTGGACAAAGCCATGGTAGCGGGGCTGAGGCAGAGGCGGTTAGAGGCCAAGAGGGGAGGGCAGTTGTGTGTGATCAGGCTGGTCAGGGGCGGAGCCATTGGGGGTAAGCAGACCAGCAGAGGGGCCAGTTGGGGGCAAGCAGGCCATCAGTGGGGGTCAGTTGGAGGTGATCAGGCCAGTGGGGAGGGAAGATGGGGGCAAGCAGGCCAGCAGGCAGAGTGGTTAGGGGCAATCAGGCAGGCAAGCAGGCAGGTGAGCGGTTAGGAGCCAGCAGTCCCGGATTGCGAGAGGGATGTCCGACTGCCAGTTTAGGCCCAATCCCTGTAAACTGGCAGTAGGACATCCTTCGAGGGGTCCCAGATTGGAGAGGGTTGAGGAACACCCCCTCCCCCATGCACAAATTTCATGCACCGGGCCACTAGTCTGTTAATATTAGTATAGAATATCATGTGAATTCATATTATAGGTAAAAGGTTACATGATTCCCTAGAGATAGTTAAAAAACATCTCAATCATGACTCTGTTATTAATATATTCCAGAAGCAAAGATCAGGTTTACCAATAAAAGATGACTATAAAAACATTTGCCGCCCCCTGACCGGTTTGGCTCAGTGGATGGAGCGTTGGCCTGCGGACTGAAGGGTCTCAGGTCCGATTCCAGTCAAGGGCATGTACCTTGGTTGCGGGCCCATCCCCAGTATGGGGTGTGCAGGAGGCAGCTGATCTATGTCTCTCTCTCATTGATGTTTCTGGCTCTCTATCCCTCTCCCTTCCTCTCTGTAAAAAAGTCTATATATATATATATATATATATATATATATATATATATATATATATATATATATATCAAACAAACAAACAAACATTTTCCTCCACAGAAGTACTGAAACAAATGTTTACCAGAAATGCAGAACTTTTCTTTTGGAGATATGTGTGGGAGATATTTTTTACTATTATACCAAACCACAACTATCACAAAAGAGGAGAAGAAGGTTTAAATAAAGGAAAGCAATAGTTATGAAACTTACATAAAGTTCCTGTTCAGTATGAGTTTTTCCTTTCTAAAAGAGCATAATACCAATGGCTTCTAGCATTAAGGAAGAAACCCTTGCACTTTCCTGTAAAAATAAAGTGTATATCTGATAATATTTGCTCTACACTTAATTTGTAATAATTCCTTCTGATACAATTATCTATAAGACTAATCAGATGAGAACTAACATAGTTTACATAAACCTGTGAACTTAATGCTTTTAAATGGGAGATGGAGCTTGAAGAAAAAGGACTGAAAGACTAATGCAAATATATGTACCTTCATGAACCATATGTATGTGTGGGTGTGTAAATACGTAATTAGGTTTTAAGCTTCTCAAGGGCAGATACTTCTGTTGACTTTCCTATGGTGTTTTGCACAATTATTAAAAGTGTTTACATAATCCATAGCTTGTAATAAATGTTCCATAAGTGGAAGTAAATAATAATTTACTGGTGATGGGTCTACTTGTAGTAACTAAAAATTCATCATTATTGAAAAGTAATAACCTTTTCCTTCATTGTCTTCCTGGCTTGCCTGTAGGTTTCTGTGGGAAGAGCTCAGGAGATTTATCTCAGTGCAGTGGCAGATGCAATGGCGTGAGCGCACTCCGCCTATACAAGCTTCCTCGGCACACCAGGAAGTGGCAGCGCCCGCCTGAGTAAGCCCCCTAGAGCCCCTACATAGTACCCTATCTTTCCTACCATTGGTTGCCCTAAGGATGGTGTAAACTTCTGATTGGTCTGGAATGTTATATATGTTGCTGCACTTAAACAATAAAATCAGATCTGCATCTTGAACCGGTCTCCGGAGTCGGGCATGCTTCGTTAGGACTCTGTCGGCCTCACCCCCGTGGGACCCCCTGCCTCAGGCTTCTGCTATTTCCCAGAGATTAGGGCCTTGACAAGTTAGACATGTACCACAAGGGAGGGAAGGGAGAATCTGAGTAGCGATGCTAGGTATGCCACTGCCTTGGAAGTAAGGAGAACAGAATTAAAAGTAAGGGGCTAAGCTCATCTAATTTAACCTTGTTTTTAGGAGATAAATCACCCCTGCAAGTTAGAGGCTGCCTCCTGAGCCACAGGCATGGAAATTCTTATGCTTGATTTATTCACGTCAGCCCACTTCCCCTAGCCTTGCACACAAGTGAAGAGTGAGTAATTCTGTGGCAAGAATTATAGTTATATAGTTACATTGGAGTTTGCACTCACTTGGTGCACTCCAAGGGGTAGACTCCTGGCTTTGGCAACTCCTCTTTCCTGCTTGTTTGCCCCAAAGATGACTTTTGTAGATTATACAGGTCAAGGAGGGTGAGGACTCTACACAGGTACATGGGAACATAACCCATTTCATTAATATTATCTGTTGCTCAAGGCAGCTGGGAGGCCAGATATCTGGCAAGATTTCTGAAGTGAGAGCCCGGTTATTAAAAAAATACAATCTCATAAAAAAAAACACACCACATAATTTAGTCAATTTAAAAGTAAAATTGGCAACTTAGTTGAATTCAGCGTTCATATAGTGGGCTTTTAACGTACACAATTTAAAAAACCAGTCCACATGAAGAAAAACAAAAACAGAATATGCTGTTTCTGCTTTCTGTTTTGTTTTTGAAAATATATTTTTATTGATTTCAGAGAGGAAGGAAGAGGGAGAGATAGAAACATCAATGATGAGAGAGAATCATTGATTGGCTGCCTCCTGCATGCCCCACACTGGGGATCAAGCCCACAACCCTGGCATATGCCCTGACCAGGAATTGAACCGTGACCTCCTGGTTCATAGGTCAGTGCTCAACCACTGAGCCAGGCCGGCTGAGCTCTATTTTCCGTTTTTTGTTTGTTTTTTAAAAAAATATATTTTATTGATTTTTTACAGAGAAGAAGGGTGAGTGATAGAGAGTTAGATCCATTGATGAGAGGGAAACATTGATCAGCTGCCTCCTGCACACTCCCTACTGGGGATGTGCCCATAACCAAGGTACATGCTTGTGGGAAACTGATATAGGGTTAAGCCTCGGACTGACCTGCTGGCAAAGTCACAAACAAGTCCTAGCTTAGAGGGCACAGTCCTCTTAGCATAATTAGGCTTGACCTTATAACACTCCCTAGATCTTATCTGGGAATCTAATGGGCTGAGGAAGTGCAGGAAGTGTAACCATGGTGTAAACAAGTGAAACTCACAAGAAAAGTGTAACTTGGGAGAACCAAGATGGCGGCATAGGTTAACGCCGAAGTTTGCTGCCTTGAACAACTACTTCAAAAGTGAAACTAAAAAACGGACCGGACATCACCCAGAACCACAGGAACGCTGGCTGAGTGGAAGTCCTACAACTAGGAGGAAAGAGAAACGCATACGGACACTCAGAGGAGGCGCAGTGCTGAAGTCAAATTCTGAGGTGTGGAGTGCGTGGAGCGGGCTGGCGGCGGAGGGCTCAGTTGGCATTTTCAATCGGGAGGGAGTCGCAGACTCTGAGCTCCAGATCCGGGCGAGTCTTTAGGGACCCAGACTCAAACGGGAGAAGCGGGACTGTCTGGCTTCGGTCAGAACGAGTGCAGCTTTCTCTCCGAGTTTTGCAGCAGGTGCTGGGACTCAGAGAGGCAGAGCCCCTAGGGACAGGACTGAGAGCCGCCATAACTGCTCTCTCTGGCCCACCCTGTTGATCCTGTGCGACCCGCCCTGCCCAAGCCCTGCACAAAGGCATTTGCCTGATAGCCTCAGGCAAACGCCAGATTAGCACCTCCCTAGAGGACAGAAGTTCTCTCACTGCAGACACAGCTGATTCTCATAGCTACTTGGCCTGGAGGTCAAACCCTCCCTGGAATTAGCTACAACAATCAAGGCTTAACTATAAGACTGCGCACAAAGACCACTAGGGGGTGCACCAAGGAAGCATAACAAAATGCGGAGACAAAGAAACAGGACAAAATTGTCAATGGAAGATATAGAGTTCAGAACCACACTTTTAAGGTCTCTCAAGAACTGTTTAGAAGCCGCCAATAAACTTAATGAGATCTACAAGAAAACTAATGAGACCCTCGATGTTATATTGGGGAACCAACTAGAAATTAAGCATACACGGACTGAAATAACGAATATTATACAGACTGCCGACAGCAGACCAGAGGAGCGCAAGAATCAAGTCAATGATTTGAAA